CTCACCATACGAAACACAGCAGCGTTAACCTGCTGTTACGCTGGTTTTCTGTGAGAGCGTGGTCCTTCCCCGGTCGAGGCGACCCGTTCGTGCTACAACTATACTACTAATATAGCTGTAGCATGGCTCTACCACGTAAAGAAACTACTAGTTGTTGCATGTTCGATTCTGTAATTTTCTTCTAACCGGGAAAGACTTTTATCCTTTGATGTTTATATAGGTACATAAATTTTTCAGTTGATTAACGGCATAGTATTTAAGATATTAAATATTTATTTACTATCAATGATTAACGATTATGATTTTCATTTTTGGTTGATTAAATTAGTTATCCTTCATCAGTTTGTGTTTTTATGTATTGTCCAATCTTACTGATTACAAGACTTTTAATAAAGTTCTCCTTTTTATCTTATTGTACAAGTTGAACAAGTAGATATTATAAATATTATAAATACATACATACATACATATAATCACGCCTCTTTCCCGTAGGGGTAGGCAGAGACCAGTTCTTTCCACTTGCTACGATCCTTACATACTTGTTTTGCTTCGTCCACTTTCATTATTCCCTTCATACATGCTCTACGGTTTAGGGTACTCTTGACCTGGCCTTTTTTCAAGACGTCCCTGATTTGGTCTAGAAATGTCCGCCTAGGTCTACCCCTTCCAACACTTTCATTCACACTCGCCTTATACACTTTTTTCGTCAATCGTTCTTCATTCATTCTCTCGACATGGCCAAACCATCTCATCATACCTTTCTCAATTTTTTGTCACTACATCTTCTTTCAGACCACAACGTTTCCTTACCTCACTATTTCTTAGCCTGTCACTCAGTTTAACTCCTATCATACTTCTTAATGCTCTCATCTCAACTGCATTTATTCTGCTTTCATGTTTCTTCTGCCATACCCAAGTTTCACTTCCGTACATGAGTGTCGGAAACAACACCCCCTCATGCACAGCCAAACGAGCCTTGTTAGACACCTTCCGACTGCTCATAAAGGAGTGCAAAGCTCCATTCACCATGTTCCCTGCATTCACTCTTCTTTCGATATCACTCTCACACTTTCCATCTCTTGTAAACTTTGAACCCAGATACACAAACTCTTTCACCTGTTCAATTTGTTCATCTTCAATCACGATATTGCAGTCTGTCACTGCCTCATCTTTTTCAAACACCATCACTTTCGTCTTCCTTACATTCATCTTCATTCCCTTTCTAACAAAAGCTCCACTCATAGCAGTTACCATCTCCTGCAACTCCTCGGCCGAAGACGCAAGTAATACTTGGTCATCAGCATAGAGAAAACATTTGACGAGTAACTCATTCATTCTCAACCCACTGTCATTCTCTTTTAAATCTGTCAAACAATTGTCCATGAACAGATTAAACAGCCACGGTGACGCTACACATCCCTGTCTAACACCTTTTTCGATATTAAACCATTCAGTGTATGCCCCCGTTTATCCTTACACAAGCACTAGAATCCCTATAAAGAGATTGCATTGCTCGTATGAGGATACTGCTCACACCGTTCACGGACAGTGCTGACCACAATTCATTCCTCACCACTCTATCATAGGCCTTTTCTAGATCTACGAACGTGCAGTAGACTTTCTTGTTTTTAGCCAAATACTTTTCGGCTATGCACCGCAAGGAAAAGACCTGATCCGTACATCCCATTCCCTTTCTAAATCCCGCTTGTGCATCCCATACTTTCTTGTCTGTTTCATTCACAATCCTTTCAATCAACACTTTCGCATACAATTTACCGACGACGCTGAGAAGGCTTATACCGCGGTAATTTATGCAGTCCTGCCGTGACCCTTTTCCCTTATACAATGGCACGATTACGGCTTTGCACCAGTCTCCCGGTACTTGCCCATTTCGCCAGCACAGATTGAAAAGGCGGTACAGCTGACTAGCCACCAGGCCCTGTCCAGCCCTCAGCATCTCGACGGTAATCCTGTCATACCCTGCAGCCTTACCTAATCTCATACTTTTCAACGCTTTCACTATTTCATCCATGCTTATCTCATTTTCATCAACATTTATATTAGTTTCCGTGGAAGGTGGCAGATGCTGTACCTGCACTTCCTCTCTTTCAAACAAACTTTCTAAATACTCTTTCCATCTCTTTAACACACATTCTTCTCCTTTTATAATGCTCCCATCTTGACTCCTGATTGTACTCAGCTCAGAGGTAGAAGTTTTTCCTCTGGCTGTTTTGATGGTTTTCCAGAAAAACTTAATGTTTGACTGGAAATCTTCAGTGAGCCTCCTATCGAAATCATCCTTTCGTTCTTCTTTCTTTCTAGACACAATTTCTTTCGCTGCTGTTTTCAATCTTTTATACTTCGTTCTTGCTTCCTTTATCTCGTCATCCGTTGCCTTTTGAACTTTTTGGTTAGCTTTTGTTGCTAACCAATCCAACCACGCTTTCTTCTTTTCTTGCACAACCTTTTGTACATCTTTATCCATCCACACGTTATCATTCTTTCTTCCTTTCCTTCTTTTAGCTACCCCGCATACCTCGATAGCAACATTTACGACCCCTTTCATAAATGTCTCCCACAAATCTTCAATCACTCCTATCTCTTCTATCCCTTTAAAACTTTCTTTCAGTTTCTCTACATACTCGTCTTTCTTTTCTTCTTCTTGTAGATTTTCCACTTTTACTCTGTCCAAAACACTCGTAGGCTCGGCCACTCGGTGTCGCCACCGTTTAAAGAGGCCACGCATTCGGGATATGACCAGGAAGTGGTCTGTGTCGAGGCCTACACCGCGGTATGCCCGAGTGTCTAGCACTTTCTTCCTCAGTCTTTCATCCACAATTACAAAATCAATCATACTTCTAGACTCACCCTCATCTCTTGTATACAAATGGATCTTTTTGTGGTCAAACATTGTGTTGGCCACGCACAGATTCCATTCCAAGCATACTTCAAGCAGGCTTCTCCCATTGTCATTCACTCTCTCGTCCCCAAACGTACCCAGAACACCTTCATACCCATCACGCTTTACTCCAACCCATCCATTAAAGTCCCCTAACATCACGATCCGTTCATTTTCTCCGCATTTATTCAAGACCTCTCTCATGCTATCCCAAAATTCCTCTCTCTCTTGTTGTGTTTTTATGGACCCACCTCCACGCAGATCCGTTGGTGCATAGACCCCAAGGATAAACAAGCGAGTGAGTCCGACTTTTAACCTAATCCAGAGGAGTCTTGGGCTTATACATTCATGCTCCATCACACATTCAACCATTCGAGATGAAAGAATCACACCAACTCCCTGACAGCCTCGGCTGGTTTGGGGGACTCCCGACCAGTATGCCGTGTAGGGGCCATGAACCGTGGTGTCACATCCTTTCCTCTTGGTTTCGTTCACGCACAGAATATCAATGCAACGTTCATCCATCATCTGACATACTTCATCTACCTTACCATCCATTCCTCCTCTTACATTCAACGTAGCGAAGCGGCTCTCCGTGGGCCGCTTTTCGCCCCCGCGAGAAACGAGACGTGATGGGTGGCGAACCACATCGCCGCCATTTTGGTTAATTAAATTATTGTTATGACTATCCATTGCGTTCCCACGAATAGCGAGGGAAAGGTTTGTCCCCCCCAGCAGAGCCCCGCATGCCAGGGTAAGGCTAGCCTAATTCTGGGGTCGCCCGGTCCCAGGGCAGTGTGGCACGCTAACGACTAGGCTCGCCCCTAGCCATGCATCCATCTGCGCGGCAGACGTTGGATTGGCGGAGGGTAGGAATAGGAAAAGGGGAAGGATAGGTGGTGTGAAAAGGAAGAGTAAAGTAAGTTAGGGTAGGAAATAGGAAATGTAGGATATTACCGTCCAGGAGGGCACGGGATAGGACAGTAATAGCTAGGGAAGCCGGGGTCGCATACCCGTATACCATACCACAACTACCGGACAGGTAAATTGGGATGAGTATCCCTCGACTCTTTATATATAAATAGCCTAATAATTTTATGTTATAAATGCATTTATTGAAAAACAATAAATTCGATGTTATAATATGTATGGGTGTGTTTCCTCCTATGTGATTCAAACGAATCTAAAAATAGCACTAAATAAAGCGCTCAATAAAAGCTAACGTAAACACATGCGCCATTCGTAAGATTTCTATTATTTAACCGGCTTCGTTTAAGATTCACCTTAGTTTCGTATTATATTGCTATTTTAAGGCACCTGTTCGATTTAGCAGTATTATAGTTCAATGATTATCCCTCTCTTTCACTTAAATGTAGTACAAAAATTGCTATCACTTTTCGTCGTATAAAAAATAGTAGAAATGATTAATGGCGGTCGTTCTTTGACATTTCGTAGTATTTCAAAAAAATGTTAAAATTTTAACAGTTCTCGGTACATAATTTAGTTTTTATAAATTAAACAGAATGCTTATTGTTTCGATTTATAATATAAAATATTATGTGGTGGGTGTGACTTCCTGTGGTGCTTTATTCGTAGAATTGTAATTTCAAAAACCAGTGCAATTGTTTTAAGTTACAATAAAATAATTATCTTACAAAATATTTGTAATAGAGTATCATATATACTAAGTTTATAAAGTAAACTTTAAGTTTGTGTTAGTTATATCCCTTATTTAGATTTAGATAAATTATATAGGTACGTGTCATTTCCTCAAGTGAATCAAGCTTATACAATTCTTGAAACTTTTAAAATTTTATGAATAAAAATGTAATGCTCCATAGAATAAAACTTAAACGTTAATGAGATTATAGGGTAATGTAAATATTTACGCTAAGAATATTTGCGGTAACCGCGCGGGAGATGTGGTAGTGTATATTTTTGTGGGAGCGTAAAGTTCTTTTTAAAACCTATGGGGCTATCAAAACCAAAAAATAAACAATAGCTGTAATTATGAATTTATAAAAAACTTTATTAATTATAATATATACATCATCTCAGTGCAATTGAGTGTTAAAAGTGTTTGTGGTTTTTCTGAATTAAAATGGTGACAATGAATTCTTCCGAGAAGGTGGGGCAGAAAGCCGTTCAGCAAGGAACCTCGAGGTTTGTGACACTGATATAAGAGTAGACTTATCATAACAATTATACCTCACCTGCTAAACATAGAGGATTTTTGTGTTCTTCAACTTTGACCTGGATTTATTGTTACAGTATATTATTATTAAAGTTACAGCCTATATACATCTCACTGCTGGTCACAGGCCTCCTCTCATTTCTGAGATGGTTTTTAGGGCAAGGAAGAGTCTGCCGCGCTGCCCCAGAGTGTGTTGGCAAACTTCACGTCTTCAAAATATATATTTGTCTTATTTCTCAGACATGCAGGTGTCCTCACGATGTTTTTTTTCACTGCCGAGCATGTGGTAAATCAGCACTTAAAATTGCACTTAACAATTCCATTGGTGCCGACAAGAAACAAACTCGGGCTGCTCGCATACTGTGAAATTAACAGCGAGCCCTAACCATCTGAGCTACCACGGCTCTTATACAGTATGTTATTCTTACAGAGCATATTGCATATGCATATTATACAGAGTTATTAGATGTTGACTCAATTACTGCCTGAAGTACAAACGTTTGGTTTATATTGAAAAAAAAAAACTTATTCTCCTTTACAATCTCTTTTATTACATACCATTTGAAAATTAAAGTATCTATATTAAAGACTTGCACAGTTTTATTATAAAACATGGTTGTCTGATAGGCTCAGGTTTAAGGAAGAGTCTTTGTTATGAAAGATGTCTCTTCCCTCCACAGTCTTCGAGAAATGTGGTCTTAGTCTGGATCTAACCTCATTTATTGCAGCACCTACTGTTGACGATAAAGTCTCTATCCTTAACCAAAATATTCTCAGCCTTTATGATGCTCATGCCCCAATTCACAAGGTTAGATTGAAGCGTCCTCCAGCCCCATGGATGACAGAGGGCGTAAGGATGGCAATGACTAGACGTAATCGAGCTTTTCTTCGTTTTAAGAGAGAACGTAATGAAGAAAATTGGTCATCTTTTAAAGCAGCGAGGAATAGGTGCAATCAAATGGTACGGGCAGCTAAACGCCGATATTTCCATAATTGTATTAACAACTCTTCTCCCGCCGAAGTGTGGAAATTTCTTAGATCTTCTGGTCTTTGCAGGCCAGCTACATTGGATTGTGGTCCTTCTCTTTCACTTGATGAAATCAACCAACATTTCGCTTCTGTAACAGCAATGGACCCTACAATTCGCTCTCAAACTGTGGCTTCCATTGCTTCTGTGCAAATTCCTAATATACCTACCTTTAATTTCTCTCCTGTTTCGCAGGATGATGTCAAAAAGTCTATTTTAGCAATTCAGTCCAAGGCGGTGGGTTATGATGAGATTAGTAGACAAATGGTAGTATTTATACTAGAGCACCTTCTTCCGGCAATTTCCCATGTTATAAATTTTTCCCTTGATTCAGGTCAGTACCCTAATCTTTGGAAAAGGGCTTTTATAAAGCCCCTTCCAAAAGTTCCTTCTCCCATTCTTCCCAATCATTTTCGCCCTATATCCATTCTACCCTTTCTATCCAAAATTTTAGAATCCTGTGTTTACAAGCAAATTTCTACATTCATTTCGAAACATAACCTACTGAGTATATATCAGTCTGGGTTTCGCCCTGGTCATAGTACCAGTACTGCTTTAATTAACGTCACAGACGATATTAGAAACGGCATGGAAGAAAAAAAAGTAACAGTACTGGTACTAGTTGATTTCTCAAATGCTTTCAACACAGTTGATCATGAAATCCTTCTATCCATACTGTCTCATCTAAATTTTGGCCCTACAGCATTGGAATGGTTTGCATCTTATCTTCGCGGTCGACAGCAGTCAGTCTGTGTGGGGCAAATAACCTCAGCTTGGGCTGATGTGGAAGCTGGTGTACCGCAAGGCGGTATTCTTTCTCCTATAATTTTTTCTATTTTTATAAACTTTATTACCTCCATCTTCGATTGCTCGTACCATCTGTATGCCGATGACCTTCAGCTATACGTGCAAGCTGAAATTGGGGATATCCATAATGGGATTAAAAAATTAAATAACAACTTACAAGCTATCAAGGATTGGTCTACTCGTTATGGAGTATTGGTCAATCCTTCAAAATGCCAAGCTATACTGGTGGGTAGCTCAAGGATGCTAGCCAAGATTAATCTTGCAGACATACCCTCTATCTACTACAATGGGATTACAATACCGTTCAGTAAGTCTGTAAAAAATCTTGGCCTACACATTGACAACACGCTGAATTGGAGAACTCAGGTTACTGAAGTCAGTCGTAAAGTCACTGCTACGTTACGTACTCTGTATCGTTTAAAACATTTTCTCCCCACAAAGTCTAAGATCATGCTTGTCCAATCACTCATATTACCCATAATTGATTATGCAGATGTGTGTTACCCGGATCTGTCCCAGGATCTTCTGAACAAGCTGGAACGCCTTCTCAATAACTGTATAAGATTTATTTTCGGGCTTCGTAAGTATGACCATATTTCGCAATATAGATCTAAGCTTAATTGGCTTACAATCCGGCAGAGGCGTATTTCCAGAATATTACTTGTTCTTTTTTCCATATTAAATGACCCATTTTCGCCTTCTTATCTTAAGAGCAAATTTCACTATCTCTCCTCATCTCATGATAGGGTTCTACGTTCGTCTTCTAACAACAAAATATGTATTCCAGTTCACTTCACCGAGTTCTATGGTAACTCCTTTACAGTTCAGGCTGCACGCCTTTGGAACTCCTTGCCTGACGACATCAGAAAAGCTCCCAATAAGTTTGCTTTTAAAAAGTTGGTGCGTAATCATCTATCTGTTAAAGACAACGCTACTTAGATGAATCATCCATGTCATTTATATTTTAGACGTATATATTTATAGTTATTTATATGTATTATTTGTATATGTATGTTGGTATGAATATATGTATGCTTATGTATGTACGTATATATTTGTATACATGTATAAATAGGATATATTTTTATAGTTTATTTATTGTATATAATAGTAAAATGTATATAAAATGTAATTAATTATACATTTCTATTTTCTTTTTATTCTATATTGCTACACCTACTTCAAATTCTCACCACTCCATGGGTTGACTGGTAGAGAATGCCACAAGGCATTAAGTCCGCCCTTTGTATTCTTTTAGGTTAAGGAATGCAATAAAGAATAAATAAATAAATAAATAAATAAATAAATATTAGCTGTCTAATCATCATTACAGCTCTTCACAAGCCCACTGCTGAACATAGGACACCCCATGGAATGCCACAAAGTATGGTCCTGAGCTTCTTGCATCAATCAACTTCCTGTATCTATTACTTGTTTGTCACTTCATTTAGTGGGTGGTCACTCAAGGAACCATCTCATCCAGTGTATAATTAATTTAGAAATTATCAATTTATATCACTTTTATTTGTTAGTTACTAAATTATATTTTTGGATACTTCATTTTATTTAGCCTGTATGATCATTTATTTTGTTTTTATAATATTATGGACCGTTGATATTTGTCCCAATTGTCAAGCGTGGCAACTATGGCAAAATCCCCCATGAGGCAATCTATGGGGGAGGCCTGTGTTCAACAGTGGACTTTTATAGGCTGTAAAAGATTGATGAATGGATATTTGAAACAAAGTATTATTGTAGTGTGTTGATTCATAAATACTTATAAAATATATAAGTTTGTACTACCATAAACATAAATAACATAGGTATTATAAAGTATATTCTTAAAATAATATGTGGTAGAGCCATGCTGCAGCTATGTATATTGTATGTGGTAGAGCAATGCTGCAGTTATATTAGTAGCATATTTGTAGCACAAATGGCTCAGCTCGACCGGGGAAGGACCACACTCTCACAGAATATCAGTGTGAAATAGCAGAATGATGCTGCTGTGTTTCATATGCTAAGCATGGAGAAACGAAGACCCTTATTACTGGTAACGAGGCTTTTCATTTCAGTCCTCAGGGGTGATAACTTACCAGTGCTTCTCCTGTTCCCACAGCTCGGTGGTGTTGCTGATCCAAGGGTTGGGCCACTCGGGAGGGGTCAGGAGGGGATCGTACTCTGCGTACTGCTCGCAGAACGCTATAAACCTGGGGATATCAACAAAAATTATATGAACATACATTTTTATTCCAGACTAACTGTACCCACGGTTCATTCACATAGAATAAATTTTAGTAATTTATTATACTTGTCTATTTGAATCGGATTTTCATTATGGGTTTTAATTTCTTTTTTAAACCTAAATCCGCTTATCTATTACGTGGTAGAGCCATGTTGCAGCTATATTAGTAGTATAGTTGTAGCACGAATGGGTCGGCTCGACAGGGGAAGGCCCACGCTCTCACAGAATACCAGCATAAAATGGCAGCTAGACACTGCTGTGTTTCGTATGGTGAGTGTAGAGAAGCGGAGAACCTTTTTACTGAAAAAGAGGCATTCCATCTTAGTCCTCACGGTTGACAATGCATCTGCATTATGATTCTTAATTGAGGACAGATGTAGATGTCTATTACATCATCTACTGACTGTGTGCTAGTATGTCAACCTTAATCTATAAAAAAAGTGAGGTCCGCTGCACCTATAATATTATGTTGTAGCAAGGCCTTGTAATGTACTTATGAAAGAAATATACCACTCTATTAAACGACGCTGACAGAGAAGAGGAATTGCTTGAAAATTAAATAAGAGGTGAGGGGAAAGAAATAAGAGGCAATGTAAAATGATCTTACGGAGTAGGCAGCATCAGGGTTGTCTGCCTTGCATTGGAACTACCACCGACATTTTTTTTATAGGATAGGGTGACAAACGAGCACACAGTCCACCTGAGGGTAAGTGGTTGCTGTGACCCATAGATATCTACATTCATCCTCAATAAAGAATCAAAATGCAGATGCATTATCAGCCGTGAGGAGTAAGATGCAATGCCTCTTTTCCAGTAAAAAGGGTCTCCGGTTCTCTACACTCCATATGATACACAGCAGTGTTAAGTTGCTATTTTACGCTGGTATTCTGTGTGAGATTCTTGCCGTGTAGTGGCGGTCAAGAATATCCACTACCCCATATCCTCCCGTGGGTGTCGTAAAAGGCGACAAAGGGAAACAGGCAGGAGATGGGCAGCAGCATCTTCCTGATAATAGCCAAAATTACAATAAAAAAACTGCGCTTGCCAACCCACTCGCCAAGCGTGGCAATTATGGCAAATACCTCCCAATGAATGATTAAAGCAACAAACAGACGGCCCCCAGTCCCCGGCGGCCCCGCTATTCCTGGCTACGGTGGCGACCATGGTAATGGCGGGGCAGGGGATGCTAAGAATCTCCGGTGGAGGTTCGGTTGCCACCTTAGACGACTCGACCTGGCAACGTACAACGCACGCACCCTGACGACTGACGAGAAGATCGTGGAGCTGGAAGAAGAGATAGACAAGTTGCGCTGGCATATTATAGGATTATCCGAAGTCCGAAGAGAGAGGGAGGACACGGTAATCCTCGAATCCGGCAACTTGCTCTATCACCGGGAGGGCGACCATCTGTCCCAAGGAGGTGTCGGATTTATCGTCCACAAGTCTCTCGTTAACAACGTTGTAAAGATCGGGAGTGTGTCGACGAGGGTTGCGTACCTTATACTCAGAATCACCAAACGGTATTCGCTGAAGGTCATACAGGTTTACGCACCAACCTCGGCACACCCCGATGAGGAGGTGGAGGAAATGTATGAGGATATCTCTAGAGCCATGCATTCCTCCAAAACCCAATATACGGTGTTAATGGGAGACTTCAATGAAAAATAGGCACAAGAGAGAACGGTGAGCTGAAAGTAGGGAAATTTGAAATAGGGCAACGGAACCAGCAGCTGGCCGACTTCATGGAGAAAGAGGGACTCTTTATGATGAACTCTTTCTTCCAGAAGCGGCCCCACAGGAAGTGGACCTGGTCGAGCCCCGACGGTTCGACAAAAAATGAGATTGACTTCATTATGACGACAACTGTTCAGTGATGTCTCCGTGATCGCGAGGATGAAAACTGGAAGCGATCACCGAATGGTTAGAGGCACACTGAACCTAAACGTTAAGTTGGAGAGGTCTCGTCTAATGAAGTCAACGCTCCGTCCCCCTCGTGCTCTGTTCCAAAGTCCGAAACCTTTCAGCTCGAGTTACAAAACCGTTTTCAGTGCCTAGAAGACTGCAATGAAGTGGACGATATGAATGACAAGCTCGTGGAAACAGTCTATGCGGTCGGAGCTAAGTTCTGCAAGACCCGCCGCAGAAGAACACAAGAACTCTCCGATCACACTCTTAATCTCATGGCTGTTAGACGGGAGATGAAGCTACATTCTTCAACAGACTTGACACCATACAGACATCTGAACAGACAGATCTCCAAATGCATGCGGCGGGACTTACGCAACTTCAATACAGCTTGTATTGAAGAAGTGATCGAGCGGAACCAAGGCTCCAAAGTCTTTGCCAGAGATCTGTCTGCCAGAAAGAGCCAACTGTCAAAGCTGAAGACAGAATGTGGCAGCATAGTTTCCGGGACACCTGAGATTTTGAGTGAGATTGAGAGGTTCTATGGGCAGCTGTACACGTCATCGTTGGAGCCACACGCAAGTGTGAGTAAAGATCCAAGAGCGAGTCTCATCCGACACTATTCCGAAGATATCCCGGACGTCAGTCTGAGCGAGATTAGAATGGCTCTCCAGCACCTTAAAAACGGTAAGGCCCCAGGTGAGGATGGAATTACAACGGAGCTTCTGAAAGCGGGTGGAAGACCGGTACTTGAAGTCCTTCAGAAGCTCTTTAATTCCGTCCTCCATGGTGGCATTACACCGGAGGCGTGGAGCAGAGGTGCGGTGGTCTTGTTCTTCAAGAAAGGTGACAACGCTCTCTTGATGAACTACAGACCGATTTCCCTTCTGAGCCGCGTCTACGTGCTGTTTTCGAGAGTCATTACGAATCGTCTCGCGCGCAGACTTGACGACTCCCAGCCTCACGAACAAGCCGGTTTCCGAAAGGGCTTTAGCACCATAGACCACATACATACCCTTCGGCAAATTGTACAGAAGTCCGAAGAGTACAATTTGCCACTATGTCTGGCGTATGTGGACTATGAGAAAGCCTTTGATTCCGTCGAAATTTGGGCGGTGCTGCAGTCCCTTCAGCGGTGTCAAGTTGACTGTCGGTATATCGAAGTGTTGAAGTGTTTGTACAGTAGAGCTACGATGGCTATCCGAGTACAGAACCAGAGTACGAAACCTATCCAATTGCAGAGAGGTGTAAGAGAGGGTGACGTCATATCACCGAAACTCTTCACCGCTGCATTGGAAGACGTTTTCAAGCTTCTGGACTGGAAAGGATACGGTATCAACATCAATGGCGAGTACATCACTCACCTTCGATTTGCCGACGATATAGTCCTTATGGCAGAATCGCTGGAGGACCTAAGCACTATGCTCAATGACCTCAATAGTGTCCCCCAACGGATAGGTCTTAAGATGAACATGGACAAAACAAAGATTATGTTTAATGTCCATGTCACACCTATGCCGGTAGTTGTTGGGAGCACTAAGCTCGAAGTTGTTGACGAGTATGTTTACCTTGGACAAATAGTCCGACTAGGTAAGTCCAACTTCGACCGAGAGGTCAATCGACGGATTCAACTCGGCTGGGCAGCGTTCGGGAAGCTACGACACATTTTCTCGTCAGACATACCTCAAAACCTTAAAACGAAATTGTACAACCAGTGCGTGTTGCTAGTGATGACTTTCGGAACTGAGACGTGGTCCTTCACAGCTGGCCGTATGAGGAAGCTCAAAGTCGCTCAGCGAGCTATGGAGAGGGCTATGCTCGGAGTTTCTCTGCGTGATAAACTTAGGAATGAGGATATCCGCAGTAGAACCAGAGTAACCGACATAGCCCAACGGATTAGTAAGCTGAAGTGGCAGTGGGCCGACCATATAGCTCGAAGAATCGACAATCGATGGGGAAGAAAGGTTCTCGAGTGGCAGCCTCCTGCCGGTAGGCGAAGTGTAGGGCGACCCCCCACGAGATGGAGTGACGACCTGGTAAGGCATGCAGGAAGTCGATGAATGCAGGTGGCTCAGGACCGTGCTTTGTGGCATTCTTTGGGGGAGGCCTATGTTCAGCAGTAGACTTGTGAAGGGCTGTAATGATGATGATGATTCTGTGAGAGTGTGGTCCTTCCCCGGTCAAGCCTACCCATTTGTGCTAAAACTGTACTACTAATATAGCTGCAGCATGGCTGTACCACGTACATATATCCCTTCATCTAAATGTGCTATGTACCATTTTTTTAATATAATATTTGATTACAGAGACTCCAAATGTGTAAAAGAAGACAAAGATATTTACAAGGAGAAAGAAAAGAAGGAAACTACAATTGCAAACCTTCCTCCCAATGTCCAGGCTCTGATGTCGACCATACCCTCGCCAGAGGAGTCGCCCAACTACCTCATTTATAAAAAGGTGAGGCATTTCTCTTCGCCATCAGCTCATGAGTAGTCCGACTGCCTCGTTAGTCTAGTGGTTGTAAGCGCAACTTCTGATCATGAGATCCTGGGTTCGAATCCAGGGTCAGGCCAACAGTTAGGTTAAGAAATTCTCAGTAGCAGCTCCAGGATCAAAGCCGATGTCTTATATTGCCACCGTACAATGAATAGTTAAATAATAGATGCCTCATTAAGCTGAGTATCCTCAAATATCTGAAAACTAAATACGAATTTTATATTCTTTCCAGATGGAGGCCATCATAGAGAAAATGCAGGATGAGACAACTGGGGTACCTGTCAGGACTGTCAAGAGTTTCATGAGCAAGATACCTTCGGTAAGAGTTCATAGCTGAACTTATCAAAGATTACAACTAAGTCAGTGACTGTCTTGCTGGTTTAGTGCTATCAAGAGTAACTGTTAAACATGTGGTGCCGGGTTCGAATTCTGGATCGGGCCAAACTCAGATATTGACAGATATTCTCAGTCGCAGCCAGGTATCTGGAAATGGCAGTGTTTTACCACTGTGTCTCGGAAAACACGTGAGGCTGGTCGTGTTGGATTAAACTTACAGCCTATATACGTCCCACTGCTGGGCACAAGCCTCCTCTCATTTCTGAGAGGTATTTATGGAGGTATTATATAGGAAATATGTTTGTATTTCATTGGTGCCGGCAGGGATTGAACCCGGGTTGCTCGCGTACTGTGAAATTTACAGTGAGCGTTAATCCTATTGGATTATTAGAATTATAATACCGTCAAATTCAAATTGAATTTGAATACTATACTATATCTATATATATATCTATATTTTTGATACTATAGAGTTGCAAACGCAGAACCAACAAACGCAACATAAAACCAGACTAAATTTTAACAAAGCCGATTACGACAAAATAAACACTAAATTGTTATCATTGTTACCTGAAAATATGGCAGACAGAAGGTGTGTGAAATCACAATTTGAAACCCTTCATGGGAACCTGATGGAAATTATAAATTTGTATGTACCACGGTTTGATATCCGTCCAAATAACACAAACAAGCCTTTAGTTAGAAACAAAACTAAAAACCTCATCAATAACAAAATAGCCTTATAGAACAGATATGTGCTGACTGTACTAGAACATCATTATAGAGACTACAGAAACACGGACAACCACCAATTACTAAATGAAAATAGAAAAGCCCGAACAACCTACGAACAAGAAATACTGCATGCAGGACTAAAAAAGTTTTAGTCCTATATAAGACAACAAGTAACATCAAAAGTAAGCATTCCTACTATTTTGCTAAACAAGAAAGGATTTGCGGACCAATTTGCGAACGTTTTCCAAACAAATTCACGTGACCAACTGCCTACATTAGACCCGACACTTCGAGTAGAGGATTCCATTGAAAAAATTCTGTTCACGCCAGACCAAGTCAACCGAGTCATTACAGAAATGAAAACAGATTTATCTCCGGAACCAGACGACATACCAGTAGTTATATTGAAGAAATGCAACCTATCTCACTATTTAACAACAATAATGCAAACATCGTACGAGACAAGCACCTTACCGGACTTATGGAAAACAGCATTGGTGACACCTATGTTTAAAAAAGATAGCAAACTGGAACCATCCAATTACAGACTTATCAGTTTGACCAGTGTGGTCTGCAGGGTTATGAAGAAAATTATAGTCAAGCATATTACAAGTTTCCTCTCCAACCTCAAAGTTATCCCTAAACAGCAACATGGTTTTTGTCCACATCGTTCCACGATTTCCAATTTATTATTATGCCTATCATCATGGACCAAACACTTAAAAAAAAGAGAACCTATTGACGTCATTTATCTCGATTACGAAAGACCTTCGATAAAGTCCCTACGAGAAGACTCCTCCAGAAACTGGAATGCGTAGGAATACGTGGAGAACTACTGGCTTGGATCGAATCTTTTTTGCGTGGGAAAACCCTACAAGTAAGAATCTGTGAAACGAAGTCTGATCACATAGAAATACATAGTGGAGTGTCACAGGGTTCCGTTCTAGGCCCTGTATTGTACATTATTTATACCTTTGACCTTCCCCTTTGCCTACAGTGTAATGTCAGAATATTTGCAGATTATTATACCAAAATATTTGCAAATCCACTAATAGGCTACGACCGCCTTCAGGTTGATCTAAATAAAATAGCTATTTGGTCCAAGGAATGGCTCATAAATCTCAATGCTTCAAAATGTACAGTATTACAAATAGGAAACCGTAATCCTTGTCTTACCTATAAAATGGGCGGCGCGTTACTTACAGATGTTAAAATACAAACAGATTTGGGAGTAAAAATTGCAAAGACTTAAAGTGGGAAGAGCATATATCAACAATTGTCAAAAAAGCTAAGGGAATAATCTACCTCGTGAGAAAAGCTTTCCCTGTCCTAACACCGGAAATGATGCTTAAGATCCACAAACATTTATCATGCCAATATTAGAATACGCATTTCAAGTCTGGAATCCTTACTTTTTACTTCAGCAAAGTACCACGGCTATTGAAACGGCACTCTTATGAAGAACGTTTGAAAGTTTTAAAACTTACAACATTAAAAAAGTCGCAGGACCGAGGAGATCTAATGGAGACTCCCCACCAAACACCTGTCAGTGAACGGAGGATATTTACATTCTTTTCGCATTTTTGGGCAATAAACATTAAATGAGGAATACTTGTCATCTAAGAATCCAGAAAATCACCTAGGAATTTAACATTATCACTTGTCGGAATTATTTGATTTTGTGCTGAGATAGAAATATTGGGACAAAATCTTTTTCTAGACAATATTACTATTCTACTTTTTGTAGGTCGTAAGGATAGACCGTTATCAGTAAGCCAATTATTTAAATAGAACAATGCAGAGCTAAGACGATAACTCAAGTCTGTAAAGTTCTTAGAAGAGTAATAAAGAGTTAGATCGTTAGCATATATGACGGCTCCGTGGCGCAGTGGCTTAGCAATGAGTTGCTGCGCTGGGGGGTGCGGGTTCGAATCCCGCACGGAACAAGTATTTGTATGGCCTACGAATGATTGTTCCGGGTCTGGATGTTTGTCCTTGTGAAATTTTTGTTTGTAAACTGCCTCCACGATACAGGAGAAAATCCTAGTGTGGGGGTAACGTTTAAAAAAAAATTGTGAGACTTTACAAAAGGAGTTAACAGAATGTTCGAGATTATGGGTGTATATGTTAAATAAAATAGGGCTTAATACAGAACCTTGTGGGAGGCCTCGCCAGATCTGTCTAGGTGGGAGCAGTTTTCCTTGAACTCTTTACAAGTTGACCTTACTGAAAGTAAATTAAAAATAATGCCAATAATTCTACAGGAAACATCCAAAAGAAACATCTTTTTCTTTGAGTAAAGGGAGGACAACGTTATCATAGGCCGATGATACATCGAGAAAAACAGCAACAACCGATTCTTATCTGGAAAAAGCGGGGCGTATATCAGAGGTAAAAACAGACAAGCTATCTAGCGTGCTCAGCCCCTTTCGAAATCCAAACAGTGTTTTGGCCAAGAGACCTTTATTTTCAACAAACCATTCTAGACGATTTTTAATTAAATGCTCCATTATTTTGCACAGACTTCATGATAGCGTTATAGGGCGGTAACTATTACCGTCACTAGGATTTTTGTCTGGTTTTAAAACGGCGATAATAATTTGCATTTTCCTATCATTAGGGAATGTTCCTGTAATAAATATGTTATTAATTAAGCCTAGAAAAATTTGCTTAGATTTTGATTCTGCGTTAGAAATAAATGAGTATGGGATTCCATCTATTCCTGGTGACGAATCTTTAAGGTGTTCAACAACCAATTCAAATTCTTCATTGGAGAAAAGTTAATTAAAATTTGAATTAATGTTTTCTCCAGGTTGGGTTATCAACGGTTCACAAAAACATAATTCCTCAGAGGAGGGAACCCAAGGAGGAGCAAGCTTATCGGCAAATAAATTGTACCAAATAGAAGGATCACATTATGATGAATAATTGTCATCGTTATATGACCCGTGGAGTTTCTTTATATTCTTCCATAATAAATGAAATCCATCTATTCGTAATAAATTCCACGCGAATGATGTCGCGTGGATCAGCCAGTCTGCATAACATAGACTTATTTTGCATGTAATATTTGGTCCCTTGGGAGAGAGGTAAAGCCCTTGTGTGGGATATTACTTGCGTAGACACTTTGGCGGCCTCTCATCTCAGGGGTACCTCGTTTAGAGCCGGGGCGGCATCAGAGGCAGCTGAACTGAGTAAGTGGCGCAAACATAACTTTCTGAGAGATGACTACCTATTTGTGCCATTTTCTGTAGAGACTATCGGTCCGCGGGGTCCACGTGCGGTGGAGTTCCTACAGGAACAGGATCCGCGACTGGTCGTCGCTGCTGGTGATAAGAGGGCTGGTTCTTTTCTCGCTCAAAGGCTAAGTATAGCCATTCAGCGAGGAAACGCAGCCAGCGTTCTTGGTACGATACCACGGGGACTAGGACTCTATTATAATTCAACTTTTTAGTTTTAGTTTTTCTTTATTATTGTTTTTATTTTATATTATATATTATATATAACCTTTAAGTTAGCTTTAATTTTATGCTATGTTTTGATAACGTATATAAATAAATTATATTTAGTTGCTGGTTCTAATGAGCCTACAAATAATTGTCGCGGGTCTGAATATTTGTCTGTACAATATAAGTACGTGAAAATATACAGGCGAAACACCTACTGTGAGGGTAGAATTATTTAAAAAATAATAATTCCATTCTTTCCAGGTGTTCACGGGCTCGGATCTGGTGGCGTGGCTGATGCGTCACTTCCGTCTAGAGGATACTTGGGAGGCGCAGCATCTGGCGCATCTTCTGGCAGCGCACGGGTACCTCTTTCCCATCGATGACCACTGTCTCACCGTTAAGAATGACAACACTTATTACAGGTGGGTTTGTTGAGATGATCAATTCTTAACATTTTTTTTTATAGGATAAGGGTGATAAGAAAGATATGTGTGACTTATATAAATAAAGTCGGCAAAGGTTGTATATATGATATATGGTGTCTCCACCTTTTGTTTTGTTTTAGAATAATGGTGACAAACGAGCACACAGTCCACCTGATGGTAAGTGGTTGCTGTGGCCCATAGACATCGACATCTATCCTCAACTACGAATCAAAATGCATTTACGTTTTCAGCCGTGAGGTCTAAGATGGAATGCCTCGTTTCCAGTAAAAAGGTTCTCCGGTTCTCTACACTCACCATACGAAACACAGCAGCGTTAAGCTGCTATTTTACGCTGGTATTCTGTGAGAGCCTGGTCCTAACTCGGTCGAGGCGACCCATTCGTGCTACAAATATACAATTAATACAGCTGCAGCATGGTTCTACCACGCATAAAAGCATGGACATAAATTAAGTTGGTTGATTCAACAACAGCCCCTGACTCTGTGTGGCTCTGATAATACCCCTCTAATTAGTGATTTTTTTTGATATTTTTACATACATACATACATACATACATATAATGACGCCTCTTTCCCGTAGGGGTAGGCAGAGACCACTTCTTTTCACTTGCTACGATCCTTACATACTTGTTTTGCTTCGTTCACTTTCATTATTCCCTTCATACATGCTCTACGGTTTAGGGTACTCTTGACCTGGCCTTTTTTCAAGACGCCCCAGGGGCGTCTTGATATTTTTAGTTTTATTTATATATTGTTTTAGCTTTTTATTTATTTATTGTTAATTTTATTTTAAGATACTTGTGTTTCATCACTTATCTAAGACTTATATGGTTATCACGCAAAGGCTAAAGAAAACGATATTTTTTTTTTTTACGGTGCAGCATCTTGCAGCTATATTATGGTTGTAGCACGAATTTATTAGCTCGTTCGGTGTAGTATCACGCTCTCACAGAATACCAGCGCGAAATAGCCGCTCAATGCTGCTGTGTTTCGTATGGTGAGTGTAGAAAACGGAAGATACTTTTTACTAGAAACGAGGCATTCCATCTTAGTCCTCACGGGTAGCAACGCATCTGCATTTTGATTCTTTATTGTGAATAGATGTAAATGTCTATGGACCACAGCATCCACATACTATCACGTGGACTGTGTGCTCCTTTGTCACACTTATTCTAACTCCCTGACTGTGTGTGGCTCTGATACCCTCTAATTAGTGAGTTATTCGTATATTGTTATATATATTTAATTATTGTTTTAGTTTTATTTTATTTAGTTACTGTTAGTTTTATTTTAAGATGCGTGTGTTTAATCACTTGTCTAAGACCATGTATGGCTAAAGGCTGTGGCAGAATAGCAAGAATATTGGGTTTTCGTTATGCCTCCTCTACACTACTCGCGGAGTTACCTCGATGAAGTGCTCGTCAAAGTCAATCGCAGTCCGAAGAACGTGACTGTGACACGTGACATGCTCGTGCTACTTCGCGAAGAGCTCAGTCGTCTTGAGTCGCCCGCACCCTTAACATGAATAATGTTCAAAAGGCAGCTGCTATAAGTACCTAATCGTGTGAACAGTACGACGCCAATGGTTAATATAGATAAATAATTATGCAGAAACCTACATATTTAATATTTGTATATTAAAAAAGTAATATACAACTGGCGTACACCGAGTAGTGCAGTGAGACGCTACGTGTAACGTCGGGTCACCTCGCGAAGTCCTTTGACTCGGGCGCGAAAAACCGATAGCGATCGGAAGTCGCCCGAGGCGAAGCGAGGTTGCACGAAGCGAATCGAAGTACCTCTCTACACTATTCTCCTCGCCCAACTTCGACCAACTTCGCGAGTAGTGTAGAGGAGCCGTTACAATTCAGTCACAGACTGTTTAGTCACAACTAATTATTAAGCTGTCTATTCAAATTTTAACATTGTACTTTTTTATGGTAAATAAATACTTTTTACTTTACTTTAAGTCATTAACAGACGAACGTTGAATGTTTTCCTCTATACTGACAGGTAAACATCATTCCATGTAGTGGAGCCTCTCTGTAGAATGGACGTACAGCAGAATACAAGTGGTCAAATTAAACATTTTATACAACCAACTTCAATATAAATAAAACGAGAACATCATCAATTTAGTCGAAGTCAATTAAATGCGCATTATTATTAGGGATAACTAAAAAACTACTGGTCAAACCTTGATTAAACTTATGTGGGACAACATGAAAAGCACCAGCTTTCAAATAAAAAACAATCATAAAAATCGGTTCACATAGACAAAAGTTATTAGGTGACTCACAAAACAATATACAGTCGAATTGAGAACCTCCTCCATTTTTTGAATTCGGTTGAAAAGTAAAGTTATATCCTATATATGTAGGTACCACTGCTGAGCACAGACCTCTTCTCATTTCTGATAGGGTTTTAGGACACGGAGAATGCATGCTGGCGAACTTCACATATCTTCGAAATATATATTTTAATCCAAGTCTCTGAAGAAATTATATTTGCACCTAATACACTACGCTACCTTTATTAGATGGTTCGGTTTCTTTCCTGATTGACCGATTTGGGTGGTTATCACCTGTTAACCACATAAAAATGGACTAAATCCATAGGATCGACTACCACCAGCTTTTTTCCGGACCGATATGACTTAGGGCCCTTCAAGAAAAGAGCCTACTCTTTTTCAAACGACCGGCAACGCATCTGCAATTCCCCTGGTGTTGCAGTTGTTCATGGGCGGCGGTAGTCACTTACCATCAGGTGAGCCGCATGCTCGTTTGCCCCTCTCCTATAAAAAAAGAGCACTGGTTCAGATCCGGCTCGATGGACCATGTAGAAGTTTAGGGGCATAATTGTATTGATGTCTCTGGCTGTAAGAATCTTGCAAGCGATGATACACGCTCGGCGACAAGAAAATTAACTTTACATTTCAACCGACCTCACAAAATATGGATGTTTTCAATTCCACTGTCGCCAACTGTGAACCAATTTAAAATTCTTCAGGGGTAGCATATAAATTTGGAAACAAAAGTTCCAAATTTATATGCTACCCCGAAAGGTAAAAATCCGTAAGGGTGGAAAAATAGGGGAAGAAGTTTTCAATGTAACTAGACCACATTGAGATTGTGATATTACTCAGTCCACTCAAAAAGAAAAGAAAAGAAAGAGTAGTAGTAGTGTGTATGGGTGCTGTAAAGTATCCGAAACATCGAGAATTTCAAAAAGTAAAATTTAACGCGTATAAATCCGTAAAATTTGTTTTATTCCATGTGTAGCATTCGCGTACTACGTGACCAAAACAATTAGGGGCACGACAACTAAGAAGTCATTAGCACCAGGGAGGAAACACCGAACGGTGATTGGTCACCAGGGGAAGCGCGGGGATAGATGCGGAGTGTAGGCGCCGGAACAGCATTCCTGTCATGCGCCTTATTGTTTTGCCCAAGTTTTTTTACGGCGTAGAATATCAGCTTAATGCTGCTGTGTTTCGTATGGTGAGTGTAGAGAAACGGAGACCTTTTTTAACTGAAAACGAGGCAGTCCACCTTAGTCTTCAGGGGTGACAACGCATAACGTAGATGTCTATGGGCCACAGTACCCACTTATCATCAGGTGGACTTTGTGCTCGTTTGTAGCCCTTACACTATAAAAAAAGGTAATTCAAGGCACTTTATTCATTAACCATGAAGATACGTTCTCCCAGGTTTCAAACCCCGTACTTCTGGCCGTCTAACCAGTGGGAACCGGAGAACACCGATTACGCCGTGTACTTGTGCAAGCGGACGATGCAGAACAAGGCTCGCCTCGAACTTGCAGACTACGAGGCGGAGTCACTGGCGCGCCTCCAGAAGATGTTTAGCAGGAAGTGGGAGTTCATCTTCATGCAGGCGGAGGCACAGAGCAAGGTGAGCTGGTGTTGCCATGTGTGCTCGAATCTGATATAAAAAGAATTAAAGAGATTTGATTGTAACTAGTGGTGGACTAGTGGTCGTAATTTATTTAATTTTTAGGTTTGTATATCAAGCAGGCTGTATTTCACTTTCAACCGCACATTAGTATACAAAATACAGATATCTGATATATAATGTGTATTATATAGTATATACATATGTATATGCATCGCTGACGACTTCTTGAGTCTTTTGAAGATAGATATTTATTGCATCTTCTCTTTCCGGCAGAATTACAAATGTTTAGAGTGTGAATACTGTTAATTTATCTGTTAACAAATAACATAGTAGAATAGAAATTTCATTCATATTCGACAGGGCGATATTACATGATAAAAAGCATGTGGCACACTGTCTATTCCGTATATGGTTCCTATGTTTTACTCTATTCATGCTTATGCGTTTATTTTATTAGCGTAATATATACATAATATGTTGCACACACTAAAAAGGAACATTTGAAATCGCACATAATTCTGTTAGTAATTATATTTGAAATTCTTTGACGACAATCTCTACTCTGTGCGACAGGTTTGACCACAGACTAATAAGTGTTTGACATTGACCTGAGAGTAATAACATTCATATCCTTGTAAATGGTATAATATGTGTAAGTGACATTGATAATTGGTAAACGATGAATGTTTTATTTCATCTATTTTTCTCCATATAAACTTTCATCATCATTACAGCCCCTCACAAGTTCATTGCTAAAGAAAAATCCCAACAAACATTGCAAAATTTTGTCCGACGTCCTGAATTTCCATTTATATTCATTAATTTATTCATAATGACTTGCCAAAGTCCACTTTTTAAACACAGACCTTATTGATTGCTTCATATAGGGATATTTGCCATGCCACAGCTACCTGGCCATTTGCCAACCATAGTTTTTTATTTTTAAGTTTTTATTAAGAAGCCTCCGGTATCACTTACCTCTGTCGTCTCCTATATACGGTATTATATATTACTGCAATTTCATTGATTTCTAATCCATTGCAGGTGGATAAGAAACGTGACAAGTTGGAGAGGAAAGTACTGGACAGCCAGGAGCGGGCCTTCTGGGACGTACACAGGCCAATGGTAATTATTTTTTATATTTACTCTAGCTGTTCCTCGCGACTTCGCCCGCGTGTGATTTAGGGTTTTAATTTTGTTGCGCGGAACCCTAATTATTTTTCAAAAATGTAAGTAGCCTAAGTTACTCCTTATAACATAAGCTATCTATCTACCAGTGAAAGTCCCGTCAAAATCGGTCCAGCCTTTTCTGAGATTAGCCGGAACAAACAGACAGACAGACGGCCAGACAGACAGACAAAAATTTTAAAAATTGTGTTTCTGTTATAGGTACCGTATATACTTTTATATGCAATTAGTAAAAAGCTGTTATTTTGACATTACAAACAGACACTTCAATTTTATTTATTTGTATAGATTAGTATTACCACAGTTTAGACCTTACAGTTGTGAAGCGCCTTTGATGTCAGGCGATGCCGCCGCCCGCGTAGGTATTGACGCGGCCAGCGTGTATGCTAGGGGTTGTCACGAAATAAATAAAATTATTTTGGATATTATAGTAATCATTATTATTTGTTAACATTATGCACATACTTATAAGTTAAAAACATTTATTGAACGAGACACTTTTTTATTACTACAAGAAAAAACACATTTACTAGTGTTGCACTGTCAAATATTTTCGTGACACTTTATTTTTGTAGATGTTTTCAGTTTTCGATTGTTAAAGTTAATTAGGTATGTAGTGAATTTGCATTCAAATAAACAATTTTATCAAAAAGAAATATTAGGGAAACATAAGCATGGCCGCCATTTAAATTCAATTTTACTTAGTAACTCATATAACTATAACAGTTATTCAGCATTATAGATATTATATTTTTCGAAAACTGCACTTGAAATTAGTTAAATAAGTAGTATAAAACACGCCCGTGCCAACTGCATGTATTGTCTATCAGACTCAGTAAAGTGCGCTGGCACAAGGTCGGCCCGCCCTCTGCCCTACAGATGCCCCCTCCCCCCCCTCCCTCGTTGCTCTGCACAAGTACATTCGTTTCCCAACTGTAAGGTCTTTAAACATTAGTGGTATTACACATTATAACATCGTAAGGAATCCATTATATTATTTACTAGCTGTTCCCTGCGACTTCGCCCGCGTGTAATTTAGGGTTTTCATTTTTTTTTTGCGCGGAACCCTAATTCTTTTTCTACAACAAAAGTAGCCTAAGTTAATCCTTATCAGTTATCTGCAAGTGAAAGGAGATTAGCTTGAACAAACAGACAGACAGACAGACAAACATTTTAAAAATTGTGTTTTAGTTATAAGTTCCGTACATACTTTCATATGCATTTAGTAAAAAGCTGTTATTTTGACATTACCAACAAACACTTTAATTTTCTTTATTTGTATAGATGTATAGATATAGGTAAGCTATTCCAATCGTATTCTATATTAGTTCGTGGCACCGCATTCTGGTCTTCTTTGTGTGAAATTACTTGTCCATGGTTTCTAGTCATTAATTTGTCCTCCAGACTGAATTTTCGGGCGGTCGGTTCGAATGTCGGCCAGACTCAACGGATACTAACCATCTTCCCAGGACATGATTATAGTTACCGAGTGTATGTGCAAGCACAGGAGCACTTTCTATTGCCTCACTCTCCTAGCGCAATGGGACGGTAAACCGACACGACCTAAGAGATCAGACCACCATTTACTCATCTGTAAGCTCCTATTTACTAATTTTGTAAAATATTTTTTTGCAGCCTGGCTGTGTCAACACAACGGAACTGGACCCGAAGGAGCTGTCCCGTATCAACGTGTTGAAGGCCAGAAGACTTCGTCAGTGTCAGGAGTTACTCATGCAGAATAACTCGAAGGTATGAAATTGCACCGTATTGTCTTTAACATAAAGTTTATTTTAGATTAACACTTCATGTGGAGATGTTATTTTTTATAATGAATAGGTTGTTTCTTTTCCAGCATTTTCATAACTTAAGTTTGTAATTTGTACCTTATTGTCTAAGACATAAAACTTTTTTGAGTTTATCACTTAATTATGATGTCGGGTGGCACTGATGGATGGAACAGCAACCAGATGCAGTTATTGTAGACTTTTTGCTATAAATTTGTAGTAACCAACGCACTTACAGTCGTGTTTTGAGCCGTGGTAAGACAGGGGCTAAACGCTCGCTGTAAATTTCATAGTACACGAGCAATCCCAGTTCGATCCCCGCCGGCACGAATTAAATTGTTGATTGCAATTTTTAGTGCTGATTTACTAAGTGCTCGGCGGTGAAGGAAAACATCGTGAGGAAACCTGCATATGTGAGAAATAAAAAATAATTCGAAGGTATGTGTAATTCGCGAACACGCATTGGGGCAGCGCGGCGGACACTTCCTTGCCCTAAAACCCTCTCAGGAATGAGAGGAGGCCTGTGCGTAGCAGTGGGACGTATATAGGCTGGAAATTTAACTGCTATTTTTATACATATAGTTTTCTAGGTTTTTACTAAAAGAGCCCTTTCACCCAGTAAAGTCTTTTGTAATATTTGTTTCAGAATAATCCTATAGTGACAATCACGAACCCTCAGGAAAGCGAAGAGGAGATACAGAAGAACGCTGGGAACACAGTAAAAGAAAATGGTAAGTATTTTTTTTTATAACATTAAAGGAGGTAATCAAACATTCAGTCCACCTGATGGTAAGTGGATGCTGTGGTCCACAGACTTCTATATTTATCCTTGATTAAGAATCAAAATGCTTAAAGCCCTCGTTTCCAATAAAAAGTGTTTTCCTGTTCTCTACACTGACCATACGAAACACAGCAGCGTTAATCTGCTATTTTACGCTGGTATTCTGCGAGAGCGTGGTCCTTCCCCGGTCAAATCGACCCATTCGTGCCACATAAAACCATTATATAGCTGCAGCGTGGCTCTATCACATAAAAAACCTAACTTAGCAACAACTACTCAATCTGAAATCATCACCCGCCGAATCTGCAAACTTCATAAATAGCTATTTCTTAAATATAGGAATCCAACTTGCCAATAAAATCCAGAATGTCAAAGAGACCCTTAGTAGACCCGTAGATAACAATCCGGTATCATTACACTCCTTTGTTTTACTATATACCGACATAGACGAAGTTAAAAATATAATTTTAAACTTAAAATCAAACAGCGCTCCAGGCTGGGACAATATCCCCAATGACTTCTTAAAATTGGCAGTCAATGACTTGGCTCCTATTATTTCCCATTTAACTAATCTATGTTTCGATACAGGAATATTCCCTGCACCATTAAAGCAGTCTATTATTACGCCTGTGCACAAGGGCGGGGACAGAAATGACATTAATAATTATAGACCAATTTCCGTTCTACCAGCCTGTCGTACGCCGATGACACGGCTGTGGTTTTTGCTGGTGAATCTTGGGAGGTTGTCAAGACTAGTGCTGAATGTGGTCTAGCTAGAGTCGCTCTGTGGTTGCAACAAAATCTTCTCACTCTAAATACAGCTAAGACAAATTTTATTTGCTTTAGCATTACTAACAACTCGCAACCACAGACTGACTTTTGCCTTAAAATTCATGCATGTAATGAGGATGCTAAAACAAAGCTTGTGACTGCCCATCAATTGAAAAAGTCTCTCACACTAAATATCTCAGCGTCATTGTAGATCAGAGGCTATCGTGGTACCCACATCTGGAACATGTCATCAGTAGAACTGGTTTGTCATTTTGGTTTTGAGAATTAAAATGTATGTTTAGATAAGGAAGAGCGGGGTTTCCAAACACAAGCATTACTTGCTTAAATGGAGACCCCAATCAACTATCTAATTAATTTAAGTTTTGTGAAGAAAAATAAATTATTTTATTTATTTATTTATTTTATTTACTGCTTGTACGTTCCATATGGTGCGTGTAGAGAACCGGAGATCCTTTTTACAGGACATGAGGGGCATTCCATCTTAGTCCTCACGGGTGACAACGCATCTGCATTTTGATTCGTGTGCTCGTTTTTCACCTTTATATTTGAATAAAAATTTAAATCTAGGATAATAGTTTTATTTAACAATTAATTTTAAATTTCGCTTTGCAGGCGAAACGTCACAACCAGAGACAAAGCCAGAATGCTCCAAAACGGAGCAAGAGCCGACCATAGAGCAACAGATAGAGGTCGCCAGGAAGCAAGTCGCTGTGTTGAAAGCGAGGCTGGAGAGACGCAACGTACGCGTCAGCAAAGTTGCGGACATGTGAGTGAACTGGCATGCTACTGTTAGGTCATGTGCTCCTGGTAGATTATCTTCTATACATCCATACATTACAGCCTATAAAAGTCCACTGCTGAACACAGGCCACCCCCATAGATCGTCTCATAGGGAGGACATTTGGCATAGACGCCACGCTTGGCAAGCGAGTTGGCGACCTAAGTTAATTATTTTTAGTCATTATAATATAGGAAGACGCTGCTGCCCATCTCCTGGCTTGTTTCCCTCTGTCGCCTCTTACGACACCCAAGGGACTATATGGGGTAGTGGATATTCTCACACCGCCACTACATGGTAAATGGGAAATTTGGAGCAAAATTGCGTCTTTTATGAAGTACTGTTGATTCTTTAGCGAATTAATGTATATGAATTTCGAACGGTTCTTGAAATCAAATGTAGGTTTCGTCTGATTAATACGGTATTCATGTTTAAAAGCGAATGCTAAAATAATGCGACGCCGTACAGCAATATAATGAAAAAAAATCGTGGGCTAAAGAAATGGCGCCTTAACAAGTGCTGGCAGTAAAAGTTAAGGATTGAAGTAATTAGAGTATTGATGTTGAAAATTTGTTAGATAAGGTCCACGTAATAAAATAAAATGATGTGTCTTACCTAGTTTGAAGGGCATCTCCCCGGAAACCATTACTTAGGATTAGTGAATCCCAGCACCACTACTCCCAACACCACTACTCCCACCCCATCCTACTAGCTACTTGTTGGGGCGGTGCATTTCATTATTCGTGTCTTCGTTGCGTTCCGAGCTAATAAGTGAAACACGTACGTAAAATAATGATTGTTACGGCCCACAGCTGCCCCTGCAAAGGTCGCCTTGGCTAGGGCCTATAGTAGCCTCTTCGACGGGCAGCCGTGGGTACGGGCCCAAATGGCCTTATGAAAAAATGACCTATCATACTACAAAATGAGGAGAAGGCTAGGAAAATAAATGGTACGTACCTGCATCCGAATCTTAGACCGCCCCAAGGCTCGGTCAGGCCGTAGGTAGAGTATATGCATGTAAAGTGGTGTTTAGTGGTGTGTATATGAGGGTGACCTGGCCCAGCTGAGGTGACCTGGCAGCGCGACAGTTTCCATGCTGCCCCACAATGCTGCGTCACTCCAGCAGGCGTATTTCAGTCTATTAACTTTATTGTACATTTAACTAAGTTCAACTCGACCAATTCAACGTTCATCGTAGAATCGAACACGTGATACCCGACACAGTAACGGACAGTAGTTCAAAGTTCAACATTCAATGTCCCGGATTTATTTATCACCAAATTACAAATAGGGAACTAACGCAATCTCTTCATGAGTTACACGGTTCAGCGTTAAACACAACTAAGTTCCTTCGTTCGATATTAAACACCACTCCGCAATAAGAATTCAAAATTAACCTAGCTGACACGCAAATTAACTAAAGAGTCAACACACAAAAGGCTCTTAACGCGACGGTATAATTAAACAATGATTTCCAGCACAATCACCCGGGAGACGCCCTCGAAAAAGGAATGCGCGGTTCGAAGCCTAGACCGTATATCTACTCGGCGCGCGCGTGCGAAATTCCACGTCACCCGAGCAAGTTAAATATTGCAAAATGCACTTCTACATGCAATTACTACATAATTTGCACAATTACTTTCAAAGAAGTTACTTTAATCAGTCAAACACAATACAAGCCTCTTGTCAAGAACTTAAAACCTAGACAACCTAAACCGAGGCGGTTTTCACAAACCCCAATTACGTAGCGAAGTAACACGCACTAACTCTAGCAATCTAGACCGTACACCGGTCGCGCGAAACTTCTGCAGAGATAAACAAAGTTGTCGTAAATTGATAAGATTATTTGGTTTGTTTAGGAAGTTGTTACTTCGTCGGAATTTTTTTTTAATGTATTTACATCGATTACTCGAAGACGCCCGAACCGATTTGGAAAATTCTTTTTTGTTTCAAATGGTATATTTACCAGGTTAACCGGTTTTAAAAAAAATTACAATAAATTATTTATATTGAAGTCGATTGTTCAAAATTTTTAAATTTTGCCACTTTTAGCATAATAAAGCGCTCAGAGAAGATGCATGGAGAGAAGTATGAACACGACCGACATCCAGGTCAAACACTGGAACGGTTGCCGTTAGTCGATACGCTTGGAACATTTGGAGCGCGTTCCGCGGTTCACTGGTTGGCGCGCTCATTCACGGCGCCAGGAGTGCGTTTTTTTATAGGATAGGGGGTGACAAACGAGCATACAGTCCACCTGATGGTAAGTGGCCACTGCGACCCATAGACATCTACATCTATCCTCAATAAAGAATCAAAATGCAGATGCGTTGTCACCCGTGAGGACTAAGATGGAATGCCTCTTTTCCAGTAAAAAGGGTCTCCGGTTCTCTTGTGTCGGTTTCTCTCTCGGAGAGCGTGGTCCTTCCCGGGTCGAGCCGACCCATTCGTGCTACAACTATACTACTAATATAGTTGCAGCATGGCTCTACCACGTAATCGATACGCGGCTTTAAGTTTAAAAAAAAAATAAAACCCAATGAAATTGTGAACAAAATCCGATTCAAATAGGGAAGTATGATAAATAACTAAAAATTATTCTATGTGAATGAAACCGTGGGCACAGTTAGTCTGGAATAAAAATGTTTGTCCATATAATTTTTGTGGCTGTCCCCAGGTTTATAGCTTTCTGCGAGCAGTACGCGGAGTACGATCCCTTCCTGACCCCTCCCGAATGGCCCAACCCTTGGATCAGCGACACCACCGAGCTGTGGGAACAGGAGAAGCACTGGTGAGTTTGGACTGACTAACTTTTACACGTGGTAGAGCCATGCTGCAGCTATATTATAGTTATAGTATAAGCTAAATAGCAGTTTATTGCTGCTGCGTTTCCTATGGTGAGTGTTTTTGCTGGAAACGAGGCATTTCATGTTAGTCCCCAGGGGAAACGATACATCTGCATTTTGTTACTCAATCGAGGATAGATGTAGATGTCACAGCAACCACTTCCCATCAGGTGGACTGTGTGCTCGTTTGTCACCCTATCCTATAAAATAAAATACATATTGCGTTCTTGCTGTCCACACCATAGAAACTTTTTTTTTATCTTTATGTATAAAAAATTCGTGTCACATTGTTTGTCCGCGATGAACTCCTAAACTACTGAACTGATTTCAATGAAATTTTGTACACTGTGTGCAGTTTGGTCCAACTTGAGAGATGGAGCTTATTAACCCGATAAGTGACCTTTAATATTTTTTATTACAAATTTAGGATTTTTTTTATAGGAAGGAGCGTCGTAAAGGGCAGAACAACGTCTGCCTGGCCAGCTGGTTAAATATAGATTATAAATAATACTTATTGAAAGTCACTCTTATGTTTAATTTACCACTGAAAATACTTCTGTCCAGCACGGCTAGCATGGGCTGGGAACAAATAATTTATCCCCCGATTATATCCACTGACAAGAGATAAAATTATCTTGTTCCTATATCAAAGCACGGCAACGGGGAGAAGTATATCCCCGTTTGACATAACGAGTAGACATATATCCCCCGTCCGTAGCATGGAGCCAAATGAAAGATCAAAACTTATGCTTTTTTGACATTTGAAAGGGACAATTTCATCCTAGTTCATTGGAAGTGGGTTTGTTTAAGTTATATTCATATAAAAATCTATCTAAGCCTATCTTCCATTTTATCTACTGTGGATATTATATCCACCGGTGTGCCCATGCTCGAAGGGTGGATAAAACTAAGCGAGGGGATAAACATTTTCTCCTTTCCCCGGGGATAAAATTGTCTCCTGCCCATGCTAACCCTGCTGGGAAGAACCAGCAATAGACTCAGCGGGACCTTAAATTTGAAAAAAAAAAGTTTACAATTATTTAAGTTACACTATAATTATAAAATAATTAACAACACAAAACAAATTAGATTTAGCTTGGTAGCGATCACCTCTATGTTTGTCTCTTTTTAGTTTCGCTTTTTCACCGAGTTTAAAATCACAACGGCTCTAAAGAAGTTTTTACTTCAAAAGTCTTATAAGGCACAAAACATTAAAAATGTCTTTTCGGAATCTCCAGCAAGGACCCGTTGCCAGTGCGTCGTGTACGTCGCTGGGCTTTCGGCCTTCGCGAACTCCTACAGGACCAAGCTGGCCGGGAGCACTTCGCCAAGTTCCTGTCCAAGGAGTTCAGTGGAGAGAATCTCAAGTTAGTAGATTCTTGAAAACTTATCATTGACAGTCGTCTGCAATCCAGAGCTGGGCATGGAGCTCTTCCAGAAACGATTTGCTGTGGTCACCATACTTGTCAATACTACTTGCTGGAGCTATATTAATTGTATAATTGTAGCATGAATGTCTCGGCTTGGTCGGGGAAGGACCACGCTCTCACAGAATACCATCGTGAAATAGCAGCTTCATGCTGCTGTGTTTTGTACTTATTGGTAACAATGTCAAAACGTGTCCTTTACAAAGCACTTTTTGAAAGCCATGAAAGCTATGCCATCGCTTCAACAAGTACCTAATGTGGGAGACATTATGAGAAACGATAAGGAACTCAGAAGTAGGCTATTTTTCTCCCAGATATTTTACGTGGTAGAGCCATGCTGCAGCTATATTAACTGTATAGTTGCAGCACGAACGGGTCGGCTCGACCGGGGAAGGACCACGCTCTCACAGAATACCAGTGTCAAATAGCAGCTTAACGCTGCTGTATTTCGTATGGTGAGTGTAGAGAACCGGAGACCCTTTTTACTGCAAAAGAGTCATTCCATCTTAGTCCTCACGGGTGATAACGCATCTGCATTTTGATTGTTAATTAAGGATAAATGTAGATGTCTATGGGCTACAGAATCCACTTACCATCAGGTGGACTGTGTCACCCCACCCTTATTCTATAAAAAAAATATAATAATATATACTGGACAAGAAAGTTTACGAAAGCTTATTTTTATGTCCACGTATTCTTTTCTTTTAAACAATCATCGTGATCATAAAGTCTGATTCCATTAATAATATTATAGACTTTTTAACATCTGCTGAATTTATAATTCGCTGGCTCCGTCTCGAAGGACCACCTGATGAAAAATATTGAAAAAAAAAAGCATTAGTGCTTGTAATATTGCTTGCCCATCACAAGGTTTAACCTATAGACTGTCCAATGGCGGGGGGGGGGGGTTATATCAACTATACACGCACGCACGCACACGTAGACGACACCCACGGAATGATATGGGGTAGTGTTCGTATTTAATGTTCGCACGTAAAATAATGATGAAATACTTATTTTGTCTGCCGACTTCCAAAAAGGAGACAGTACTCAATTCGACGCGTATGTTTTTTTTTATGCGTGTTATCCTCATAACTTTGTACTGGGTGAACCGATTTTGATGATTCTTTTTTTTATTTCAAAGCTGGTACTTCTCGTGTATCGTTATCGTTCCCAATATGAATTTAATCAAAGTCAGACCAATAGTTTTTGAGTTATTCTTAATAACTTATATTGAAGTCGACTGTACAAAATTTTTAATTTTAAATTATTACAGATTCTGGCTGGCAGTTCAGGAATTAAAGGCGTTACCCATACGACGTGTGGCTTCCCGTGCGAAGGAAATCTGGAAGGAGTTTCTGGCGGCCGATGCCCCTTCGCCGGTGAATATTGACGCTGCTAGCAGGTGAGAGCACTAAATGAAATTCACAAATTTTCAAACAATGAAGGATTGTAATTTGCCGCTCACCAGATGTCGCTAGTTGGGACTGAGGTGAAGTTTTTTGTTACACGATGTCGTTGCATTTCTAGAGTTATATTAATTCACAAAACAACGCCTCAGGTTTTGCTCTTTAATTTTTTGCACATTTTGACTTTTTTCATTTTCTACTTGTATTAATATTTTTTTTTATAGGATAAGGGTGACAAACGAGCACACAGTCCACCTGATGGTAAGTGGTTGCTGCGGCCCATAGACATCTACATCCATCCTCTATTACAAATCAAAATGTAGATGCGTTGTCACCCGTGAGGACTAAGATGGAATGCCTCATTTCCAGTAAAGAGGGCCTCCGGCCACCTGCACTCACCAAGCGAAACGCAGAGGTAAACCTCTACTTCACGCTGGTTTTCTGTGAGGTCGTGGTACCACCCCGGTTCGAGCCGGCCCATACGTGCGACAGCAAAAGCTGCCGCGTGGCTCTACCACTGTTAAAAAATATTCGTAGTTTGATTTATTCGTTTCTAATCTAAATAAATTGAAATATAACTAATATTACAGAAAGAAACATTAACCTAACAACTTTCCTGCTATGAAATCTGTCAAATATTTCACCTCATTGCTCAGTGGCACCGCCCTGGTGGCAGATAAAGTCGTGAAATTCATTCAAACATTTTTGGCAATTGTCTCAAACAAACTTCTTTAACTTATTTTTTTAATTCCTCATATTTAAAAGCTAAAAGTACTCAGAGTTAAACTATGACGTTAGGACGTCAAACTACCTCAGTCTCCCCTCGTGACCATGGGTGCTGTGAAGCACCCGAATCATGAATTAATAAAAAGTTAAATTAATCGCGATAAAATCCGTAAAATTAGTTTTATTTCATGTCAATTACGTATACTTACATAACGGGCGTTACATGACGGGCGTGAGTGTTTATGAGACTGCGGACTTCCATTTGGCGCGATCCTGACACACCTCTCTCGCCTCCTTTACATCCATATATCTACGCATACACGCTCCTCGGTTAATAATACTCTTCTTTTTCTTTTAAATTATGGCTTCTCTTGATAGAATTCTGCCAGTGTCAAGTCAGTCTTGGGAGTGACAAGTAAGGATACTCTTAATTTGGCCCACCTTAAATTATGTCAACTGTCTTAAATAAATATAATATCATCTTGTGTTTTCTCTCCAATTAAACAGGGAACTGACGAGAGTCAAGGTGGAGTCCGGCAAAGCGGATAGATACTGCTTCGATCAGGCCCAGGTGAGTGACCTGAACCACTTACCGTACGTCACAGAACACATAACAGTCCTATGTCCTGTACATGTACAGGATTTTATTTATAATTATAATTTAGATTTGTTATCAAGAAGACGCCGCTGACCATCTCCTGGCTTGTTCTTTTTATCTTTTGGCATTTTCTCCTAGTCAACCCTAAACGTGTGGAAGTAATGTGATAAGTGCCAAAAATAAAAAGAAAATTATTGTAAATAAAAAGATTCATAAAATCAAAAGAACGAATAGAAAAAAAAGAATCAACAAATCAGACTATAAAGTTTACACACACACACACGCACACGCGCACGCACACGCGCGCACGTACGCACTTACGCACTTACGCACGCAAGTATTAAGTTGCAGATTTTTTTTAATAAGTTAGTAAATCAGGTGTTACTTTGTGGAAATCCATTATATTCAAGATATTAAATATTAAATTTGATAAAATCCGCGTAATAAAATAAAATGATGTGTCCGCCGACCGCTACGAGTTTCTTAGTTAAGAGTTCCATCGCAGAGTCTACTTCACCTGAGGATGCCTCGTGTAGAGGTGTTGGTGTTGGGAGTTGTGGTGTTGAGAGTAGTATTGGGAGTAGTGGTGTTGGGATCAGTGGTGACGGAGATGATGTACGTTAAAAACGTACATTATCTATTATGTTCCATTTTTAAAAATCTTCATTTATAATGTTAATAAATATGCTGCTGCCCATCTATTTCAGTTTTACTCTCTCGCTCTTACAACATCCACGGGATGATATAGGGTAGAAAATTCTTCTACGTCGATTCTACCCGACAAAGACTGATAGAAGTATGTAAGTTGTGAAACCTTTGCCAACTTATAAAATTAAAAAGAAGCGTTTCCGGCCGGAAACTGACACAGAAGGACGTAAGCGGTGAAACCTTTGCCTACTCATCGAATTACATAAAATACGTTTCCATTGTAGGCCCACGTGTACCATCTGATGAAGTCGGACAGCTACTCGAGATATCTACGCTCAGACATGTATAAGGACTACTTAAACGGGTCTAAAAAGAAGGTAAGATATATATTTTTATAAAAACTGAAGTAACAAACGAACTTACAGTGCACATGATGGTTTTTTTTTTATGGAATAAGGGTGACAAACGAGCACACAGTCCACCTGATGGTAAGTGGTTCTTGTGGCCCGTAGACATCTACATTTATCCTCGATTAAGATTCAAGATGCAGATGCGTCGTCAGCCCTGAGGACTAAAATGGACTCTACACTAACCATACGAAACACAGCAGCATTATTTACGCTGGTATTTTGTGAGAGCGTGGTCCTATCCCGTGCTACAACTATACTACTAATATAGCTGCAGCATGGCTCTACCACGTATGTGGCTGTTGCAGTTCATGGACACATGCAGCCAACTCAGACAAAGACGGCTACAGATGCGTTGTCACCTCTGAGCACTGAGATGGAATGCCTCACAGCGTGTAGTTATACTGGTTCTCTATACCCTACACACGGGAACACAGCCAGTGCAAGCACTGCAATTTGGAGACAGAAATAGGTAAGCGGGTGGGTTTTACCCAGGCGGACTTTGTCGGAAAAGAAGTCCAACCACACTTTAATAATAATCTTTCGTAATAACGTTGGTGTGATTATAACTTTGACAAACGAGCACACAGTCCACCTCATGCTAACTGAATGCTGTGGCGGATACACATTAACATCTATCTTCGATTTAGAATCAAAACGCAGGCACGTTGTCACTCCTGAGGACTAAGATGGAAATCCTCGTATCCAGTAAAAAGGGCCTCCCGTTATCTACACTCACCATACGAACCACACCAGCGTTAAACTGGTATTCTGTGAGAGCGTGGTCCTTTCCCGGTCGAGTCGACCCATTCGTGCTACGACCATAATGTAGCTGCAGCGTGGCTTTACTACGTACCTGCAGTCAGCTTTAAACAAAGAAGATGATTGGTGCGTTGTGACCTCTGAGGACTAATATGGTGGCGTGGCGATAAAGTCAAATCGTCTTTACAAGATCTCAAGAAATCTTGGCAAGATCCGTATCTGACGAACCGATAACCTATGAGAAAGAAAAGTTCTCGAGTGGCAGCCTCGTACCGGTAGGCGAAGTGTGGGGCAGCCCCCCCCCCGCTAGATGAAGAAACGACCTGGTAAAACTTGCATGAAGTCGATGGATGCAGGTGGATCAGGAACGTGCTTTGTGGGATCAAATTCACAAATAAAGCACGCAAGTAAAGCATGCTTCCTTTTGTTTCAGACGTCAGTGAAAGGTATCCGCTCTATAGTGTCATTCACCGGGAGGAAGGACCAGTCTGCCAATTAACAGCTGCACAGTTTCCGCTCTTGTGCGAAGGGCGTGGCTCGTGCGTTCGACGGAAGTTTCTCGAAGTTATTGAGGGTAGTTTTAAAATCCATGACGTACACCTTGCATTATGTTGACAGTTGAATTTAAACACTTAAAAGTTTTATTTCGAGGTTCGTTAGTTTTTTGGCGGGAACTGTCGGCGGATTGCGTGTTGTAATAATGCCTTTAATTAATGGTTTGAAGTGGATTGATACGTTAAAATGTGATTGTGCGATGTAAGAATGCTATTACCTATAGTGGGAACGATGAAACCATTGCTCCGATGGTGATATATATCTCAAGTTATTGCTTCCGTTTTGGCATCTTCAGATTCTACCATCATCGAATCTGCTGGGTTAAGCCCGCCATAAACCGCCCAAAACTTCCATTATGTGGCACAACAACATACTGTAAAGAATTCTGTGAACTAAATATTCAGCAGACAAGGCTGTATGGGCGTAGAAACCTTTGCCTTTAAATAATTTTAGAAAAGTGAAGTATCACAGTGACTTATTCGGGTGTCAAATTGATAACTTAATGTCATTTATGTCAATCTTTATTAGGGTAATGTTTTCTTATTTTGTTGTAGATTGTGAACCCACTCGTAAAATTGAGAACTCTTTAATGTAATAAATATTTACTTGTCACTCCCATGACTGGCTTGACACTGGCAGAATTCTTCAGGAGCCATAATTTAAAAGAAGAAGAAGAAGAAGAATGTTTTCTTATATTTACGCAAATTAGCAGTGGGCTGTAACAGGTAAAATCGGATATCCGCATCCGCCTGTTCCAGTCGCACATAAAAAAAACTGTTCCAAAAACCTGTTTCAAAATAGCATCATGTTACTACAGTCTTGATAGGTACTTCCCTTTCTAACTAAGGTATGTGAGAAAAGGACTGAGCTTGTGACAACTGTAACAGGTCGGCACAGTGTAACATTTTTTATCTTATTCTAATAAACGTAACAGTTATATGTATAAATTCAGAAAAGCTTGTGACAGTTGTATAATGAATTTTGTTATCTCGTGGAACAAGAGCTGTTCTTTCAGTTTGTCACAGTGACAAGCTGCTATTTTAAGATACTTCCATAGAGTACTTATCTTTATAATATGTGTTGAACTTATGCGAGAAAAGGAAAGAGTTGTTACTCGTAACCATCTCTTGGAGTGTCACAGTAAAAAAAAAATTATCTTATTCTAACAAAAGTAACTGTCATATGTATGAATAAAGAAAAACTTGTGACTTTTAGTAGATTTGTTATCTCGTGGAACAGGAGCTGTTCTTTCAGTTTGTTTGTCACAGTCACTGTCTGCTATTTTTAGATACCTGTTATTTTTATCTGTTATGATAAATACGCCTCACTCCTAACATAAATACTACTCATTAAATCACTGCCTTGTTGGTGTAGCGGTCGTAAACGCTATGTTAAATATAGTAATCGGTTACTTTGTTAAAGTGAAATAGGTCTGTATGACTTTTACTTTGCAGTTAACTTTATACTGTAGTCACTCTTTTTCTTTTAAATTATGACTTCTCTTGATAGAATTCTGCCAGTGTCAAGTCAGTCATAGGAGTGATAAATAAACAAAAAAAAAACATTGTGCATGTAATTGTGTACACGTGTACGAAGTGATACTTCTTTACGAAATATCATTCTTCTTTTATTTTATAATTTACATAAGTTAGTTAAATAATAGTATACTCGTGCAGCCCAGCAGTGGAACGTTACAAGAAAACAAGACGTTTTTTATTTTTAATACTTTACTAAATTTTTGTAGTACGTCGATAAAGAAGTTTCACTTCAATTATATAAAATTGAATTCACTCGTATAGTTGTTTCTATGGCATATGTCAATTTGACATTGACGTACTTAAATGTCAAACTGATAATGTTCTGAAAATCGTGAGGGATAGTTTTGGCGGGAATTCACCCGCCGTGGATTGCTGCTCCTGTATTACTGTTTAAGTAATAGAAGTGGATTTCGGAACTTCAATGGAAACCATAAAACAAGGGCTTCGATGGCGATATTCAATTTATTTATTTAAAATTACATACAAACTTAGTATGTAGGCAGAGTTAATGCTTGAGGCCTTCTTATACAAGTACACCTAATCCTGAAGTAATTTTTTTTCCGCTGTGTTAAGATTTCTGTGAAATTTCTCAAAAATGTCGCAATGTGAAAAATACATGTTTGACTAGGCTGTATGGGCATAGATAACTTTGCCTTTAAATAATTTAAACAGAAACCAAAGTTTTTTTCATTAAACAATATCAAGACTGCACAAGTGGAAGATACTGCCGACGTTGTTGTTGGTTAAAAAATAATGTACATATTATGTTTAGATCATAGACAATATTGGAAACAGAGTCTAGATTCTACTCTAGTCTAGATTTTAATTAGTCTGTATGTCTAGATAGTTAACTTTATCTTTTCGCGTTTGTCTCTATGATACCATTAGATTGATCGGTTCGAAATACAAGTTACTTATGCATTTACGGTTTAAGGATTTTCTTTAATAAACGTAAGGATGACAAACAAGCACACAGTCTATCTGACGGTAAGGCCCGCCATATACATACGGAATTCCGTTTCGCGATTCCGTTTCGGAATTCCGAACGGGTCGGCCACACACATACGGAATCCCGTTTTGCTCGCAAAATTTCGAACGGAAAACGACCGTACGTGTGTGGCGGGTCATAGATTTTATATGGACTTGCTGCGTTCGGGATTCCGAATCGGAATATCGAAACGGAATTACGTATGTATGTGGCCGGCCTAAGTGAATGCTGTGGCCCATAGACATCTACATACATTGTTGATTAATTTTTTTATACCATAAATGTTAAAATTATATATATATAGATATATATATACACATAAATATTTTTATTTTAACCATAAATGCAGCATGTGGTAGAGACCACGTACATCCAGTCAGCGTTGCAATGCAATCATGAGTTGACGCATCTGGGGACTAATATGGTAGTGTGACTCAATCAACCTAAACGTGCTCTCGTCTGGGAACTTTAGAGCCCTGTCTCCAGCTGTGGACAAGAACGATGAACATAATTAGGTGTTTTGAACCCTAAAACCGTTACATTATATTATTTACGTCCGATAATCTCAGTGAGGAAGGTATCATAGATCGACAAACTATTTACGTCTCTAGTCGTATAACTTCCAAATATCTCTCTATCTTAGTGAATTTTTTATTTTTTTGAAATTTATTTTTTTAACTACCTGTAAAAGACATGTTTTATATACTTAAATGATAATATTTATAGATTATTACTATTATTAGATCTTTTGTGCTAACAGTAATTAGGGTGAGACAAAGATATCTATATGTTTAGTCCTTCTCTGTCTGCCATTTTTCAATGCATTTTATTTAAATTGACTCGTGTGAGATTAATAGCGAAAATTTTATCTTAGCAACAGTCTAATATAAACAAAAGTTGAAATGGAAACTGCCATTATGACAGCTGTCAGATGCATTATTAATGTCAAACTTGACACGTGACTGTCACTTTGACGGCTGTCATTTGTGTCAGTGGGCGTTAACTAGCACAAAACCGTTAGCCAACACAAAACTGAGACTGCATTCCTAAATAAGCAAAGTTTAACAATTTCGAGTTTTATATCAATTTGAAAGGGCATTATAGCAATTTATTAGTCTTTAGTACGTTCAATAAAAAATATACTAAAGATCGAATACTGTTATATATGTACATGCTATCTCTTTCTAGACAGGTCATAGAATTTTTTATGTATTTCTACCATTCCACCATCATGATAGTCGTGATAACTCAGGAGTTAAACGACGTAAATTTTACAGTACCTGTGTTCGATGCCCCGCCAGCACTGATGAAATTGTTCATTGCAGTTTTAAGTGTTGACTAACCACGTGCTCGGTAGTAAAGGAAACCTTGCGAGAACCACTATATATAGGGCGTTATATTTTTCTACCGAAATTCTGAGTTATAAACTTTTAGATTAAAAAAATTAAGTGTATTTCTTTTTATACAATGTATTTTTAAATTATTGTCCAGTTATCGAATATTTTAGAAACGTATAATGCATCGTAGTTTTATTTTATACCTTTAATTTATTTTAAGTTTTAAGTAGGAAAAAATAAACACCTCAGTCACAAAAAATATATTCATTAGTTATTCTTTTGAATTTTATTACTACTGTCTTAAGAACCTAAATTGTTTGTCACAAAGATATAGCATGTACGTACGTATTATATCCCATGTTGAATACAATAATTGTTAGATTTTATTTTTATTTCGCAACCAAATATTTTAGTGTTGGTTGTTTCATAACAAGAAGAACAATTTAAAACTGTTGTAGGAATTATAATAACAATGGAATTTCACTCGTGAATTGAACAAAAGTCTTATCTAACAATAGGGATGGGCAAAAGGAAAAAATTCGATACTCTGAAATAAATATCGATATGTCAATATATCGCGAATTAAAATATCGACGATATGTATCGATATATTTTTTAAAAAATATCGATATTTCGATATATCGATATTTTTTCCCCATGCCTATCTAACAATATTCAAATATACTTATTATAAATATATTACTGTAAATATTCATTTAAATTCATATTAAAATGAAAGACTTCTATGTGTATTACTGTTGGGACACAGTAGTTACATACATTTTGCTGCATTGATATTTTGCACTTGTGTCCGGATTGCGTTCGGCGGCGAACGCCAGTCGTTCCCTCTTAAATTGACAGGAAACGCTCCTTTAGTGCTTTATATTTCCCTGATGTTGGTGGCTGAATTACTAAATCCGTTATCTGTGCGATAACATCTTTGTTTGGCTTCCAAATACCAATGTCGTATTTTGCCTGATCACTCAACTTTTGTGGGTTAAATGTAGCTTCGATTTGTATAAAGTATAAACCATAACCTTGACTGGTACATCCAAAATTCAGGTAACCGTGTGGCAAGACA